AAGAATAATCGATTTTAATCGATTCTTCAAAGTAATCGATTAAAATCAGTTAGATTTTCAATCGATTTTTTCCAATTTTCAAAAAAATAATCGATTTTAATCGATTCTTCAAAGTAATCGATTAAAATCGATTAGATTTTTAATCGATTATGTTGAATTTTCTAAAAATAATCGATTTTAATCGAGTTTTAGCTGTGTTAAATCGATTATAATCGATTTTTTCCACAAATTTAATCAAAATTGCTTCTTTTAATCGATTTTTCCAGATTTTTTGCAGAAAAATCAATTTAAATCAGATTTTTAGGCTGTTTTTTTTACATGGGTCATCACTCTATCATTCGTTCAAAAGGAAACAAGGCACTTCTAAACTATCTATCAGATTCACGTGTTCACTTTTGTACATATCATTCAGAAGAGAAAACGAACGGTAGTTTGTAATAGATCAATCATATACTGGAGTTGCATCATATGGATGGTCTGAACTTGTAATAGAATTTTGGTTTTCAGGTTCTTCTGAAAAAATTTACCCTAGGACTGCTTTATTATATGGTTACGATATCAGAACAGATCTGTAGCGACGTATGAACACGCATCGAAAGACAATGTATATTTATATATTATCGAAAAAAAAAGAATATCTTAAACTGTCAACAGTTACATGTGTAACGGAAAGAAATTGCCAGAATCATCAATTCAAAAGAGACAGAAAATCCGTACTCATTTATTAATCGAAGTTCAAGAAGATTCCTTGGTGTTCGTTGAAGTCTCGTCAGCTATCAATATTCAAGAAGTAAATTTCTGTAATAACGACAATGACTAAAATCTTTAATGGTATAGTGACAGATAGATGAATGAGGACATCTCTACTACCCCGAAAAATAGCCACTTTCAAACATCACTTGCATTTTTCTTTCAGTACAGAAATGTTCATCGAATTTCAATGAAACTGCTGGATTTTGTCGTAGTGTTTATCGAAACTGTGAGATCTTAGTGCCACTCGTAATTTATAGATACATATGTTTTGGTTAAATTAAAATTCAGTCAACCTTAAAATGTGGTTAAACAAAATTGACACTTCTTTTTCGATGAACAAGCAAAATTAAACAAAGACACAAAAATTGAAGTAGCAACAAATTTTATATGAGGATGCGATTGCAATAGAGAACCTACGATCATCCACATTTACGTACAAAATCAAACAGCCACACATCAGATACGACCCACTCAGAGATTCTCCAGACGAATACTGCAACGAAAATGAATCAAATGTCAAAGAATTAGGCAAGATAAGATTGCATCAACAATAATCTACTGTACTGGAGCTTTAGCACAATCAAAAAAAAACTTGATGATTTGGATTCAGTCTTCGTCTAAAATAATATAAATAGTTTGCGTTTCGATAAGACCCCATAAATTGCAAATATTTTATGTGAATTTTGTCCAAAATTCAAATCCAAATCCGAACCTAAGCTACAAATACAAACACAAATTAAATAGCAAGGCTTTTGCTACAGAATTCCAAATCTATTCTAGAGTTGTCGCAGTCTTGCTCCAGACCCATAGTCAGCCATATCCAGATTCTTTGTTATCAAGATTCTACTTTTCATAACTATATATATACATATATAAATGAATCCTTTTTACAATAATGCAACAAATATATATATAGAGCGCTAAAGGAAGAAAAAAAACTACACAGTGAAAAGTTCCATAGGTGATGCAGACGCAGTGAGAAGCCGTAAAAATACGTTTAAAGAAAGAATTTCAATAGAAACAGAAATTCTTCATGACACTCATGTGACAGACAAGAGTCATGAATGACGTAAAACAAATAACAAGAGAGAAATCGAAAAATTTAAGTACATGGTTATAACAATACCGATGACAAGAAAACTCTTATGATGTCATTTGACGAAGATGCAGTTCATAAAAACAAACATACCCTGATTTTGACTCATTTGATGTCGTAAATACTCAAACTTAAAAATGGATTCTTTTTTTTTTATATAAATAATTAACTTCACTGAAGTTTTTATTATATTTTTTAAAAATATTTTTGAAAGTTACTTAGGTTTATACTAATGAAACTTTTTTTTGATTAGATTCAATGATGTCTAAAGAAGAACAGGAAATCGTACCATTCAATAAAATTCAAGGAATAGCTTCGACAAATGTACCAGCATATTCTAATGAATATAATGATTTTGTTTCCTTTGAAGGATTTTATGTTCATGGAATATATACTGGTTGCAAATGGCACTGTGTTGAATTTGCTCGTCGATGGTTATTACTTCGTAAAAGTTGTATCTTTCAAAATATTAGGTTTGCTGCTGATATGTGGCAAGAATTGAAATATGTCGAACGTGTTACTGATGGTGAAAAATTTCATCTAAAAATTCATTCGAATGGATCACCACATAAACCTCAATGTGGTGCTTTACTTATCTATCCTCGTAGTGAAGACGCACCATACGGACATGTTGCCATCATATGTGAAGTTCAAGAAAATTCTATTCGTATAGCTGAACAAAATTATCAATTTCATTATTGGTCAAGTGACTATGCTCGTCAAATTCCCATGATATATCGAAATGATTGTTATTATATTGAAGATCAAGATAATGTTTATGGATGGATGGAAATTGAAAATAATAATCAATTAAAACCATTAGACGAATCAAATATAAATTTCATCCTTCCAAAATATCAACAACCACAACCCATTAGTGAATTACAACGTTGTTTTATTATGAATAAAACTTTTAACAATGATTATTTACCATTCAATGTTGATAATCGAACAGAAAAGTTTCTTATGCAATCCGATGAAAATGATAGTTATTATTATAAAGCAAATGAAAATTTTTTTGTAAATATTAGTAATACATCAAATGAATTGTATCGACTATTTAGGCAAGTTACAGATCGTATTATTCATAATGATGAATTTTTAACACTTTTTGAAATACCGATCCAATTTTGGTCCAGAATTCGTCGATCATGGGAAAATGAAGGAGATCTTGATATATTAGATCATATGAGTTTTAATTTTGATGGACAAAATTTGAAACTATGCCAATATCAAGCTAATCATGCGTTAAAAACTCTTCAATATGCTGTTATACAAGAAAAACGGGCTCTAGCGATGAATGTCAATTATAATTTTACGTCTAGTTTTCAATTATATCATCTTTTAGTAAGACAATGGAAAAGATTAAATATAAAAACCCTGATTCATATATTAATTGATAATGACGAAGATGATTTAGAGACTATTTTGTTTATACAAAAGGTAATGACAGAAGCAGGTATTACTTCAAAATTATGTCTATTGTCGAATGGTCTCTCTTGGAAAGATTCAATGATTATTGACAAAGATGGTGAAATTGTTAAAACTGTTTGGAAATTATGGAATTGGGAAACAATCTTTCTAAACTTAAGAAATCAGTATTGTAAAAATGAAGAAGACAATGAATGGGAATCAATGAATGACGAAAGTCCATGTATCAGCGATATTTTATTAAATGAACAAATTAGAATTATCGAACCTTTATGGAAATCTATTACAAATCATAGCGCATTTTTATCGATTTTATATGAAATTTTTCCAAATCATCCTAACATTTTACAGAATGAATGGTTTTCATCAGAAAATTCAGAACATCTTCCCTGTATCGATTGGTCGATGATAGAACTGAATAATGGTACCATCAAATCGTATGATGCGAGGGAAAATTTAATCGTAAACGATAGTATGGAAGAAGACTTAAATAATAATGACATTTCGCAGGAAATAATGTCAAGATTAAGTTCTGATGAAATTATTGTTAGTTTGATGATTCACGGCTTATGCTCTGGTTTTAGTATAAGTGAAGATCAAAATGATTTGAATAACTCTAAAACATATTGTTGTATAATTTGAAAGAAATGTTCTTAGTTCAATTGTATAGGAGTTCAGATAAAAATAAATGTGAAGCATTATATTATTCTAATTCTATAGTGATGATGGACATAAGCTACTAAATCGTTTAAATCTAGATTAGCTTGAGGGTGTGGGTTTTCGCGGATACAGCTATGGGTGTCGGTGTCATTGTCAGTGAACGTAAGACCATACTCGTAACCTCACTCAAATCCACATCCACCTACATTCTCAAACCCTCACTCATACCCATCCAACTCGAATGTTATGAATCGCCGTCAAGTTCTAATCATTTTGCTCATATCCATCTCTCACCACACTTCTTCCTTTTTTCTCCATCATCGTTTTTACTGATATGTCTTATCTTAGTAAGATATTACCCAGTTATCTGTTTGCTTTTATTGGCTTGATTCATCTCATAACAAACACTTGTTATCAATTTCTATTTCGCCACGCAACAACAAGATGACCAACCTGAGCTTATTACGAATATAATCAAGTCTAACAATGCCATCAAGCTATCGACCCCGGCGACAGTTGCACAATTTTTGGGTCTTCATAAAGAATTCTCAGAAAAAATTGCGTTGACTTATACTCGTCTGGGTACTATCAAAGATGTTGGCGATGTATTTCTACCTCAAGATAAAATGACAAACCTCAACGAATTTAAAACATTCGAACAAGTACAATTGGTTGTTTGTGGATACAACTCATTCGGGAATACATTGTTTCTCCATCAATTTCTTGAAAAGGGCGCTTTTTTGCCGGCTGGCACAGGTGCTGTTACTGCGCGCATCGTCAAATTCTCTTACGCTCCAGTCGAAGAGGCACGTCTATTGATTCATGAAGCAGGTGTTGACTCGTCTATCAAGGGTGATCCAGTCTATCTCTCCAAATACTTCTTATCCATGAATCAGATGAGAGTGAAGAAAAAACAACAACGCTCGAAAGAACTCAAAGCTCTTATTGCTGAACATTTGGCTCGCCCTGAAGCATATGATCCATTCTCAAATGAGTTCGTCGAATGGGCATCACAAATGATGGAAATCTGTATTCAATCGACCGTTCTTCAACTCGGGATTATCGTCTACGACATACCAGATTTTCATTTTGGAGACTTCCCTATACTCATCAAGAATTTACAAAATTTGATCAAAGCTCGGCGCCCTTCTCTTCTTTTCCTCTATGACAATGCAACTGCATCCGACGACTCACGCAAACGTTTTGATGCACTAAAGTTATCTGTTCAAGACATAGCCGATGTTGGTGTTTTCCTTCTCAACACAAAGGCTGATGTCAGTACCATTCTCCGTGATGCCGGGATAGATGAATTAATTACCTGAACAAAATGAAATAAATGAACTACGCGAACAGGAACGACTTCGTCGATATAGTCTTTTATGCAATGTATCTGAAATGAGCGGTGATTTGCCTGATCAACTGAGCACCTGTGATTGTTTTGTTATTTTTAGTGTCGATCGTCCCGAACATCCAATGGAACAAACAATGAAGAAGAATGCCATCGATCGTATTGTCACTTTTGCTGCGAAACATGATTCAAAAAATACTAAGCAAGTTAGTTGTATCATAATAAATACGATCGCTACATTTTTTGATTTTGTTCTCATCACCAATTGACGATCAAAAGAAGAATGAGAAAAGTTGCAAGAAGCAGCACTTTTGTGGGCACACAACTTTTTTCAACAATACTCTTTGTATTTGGATACCATCGCCAAAGAAGCTGAACGACAATTGCCCATAGAATTTCGCAAGCATCGTGATAGTTTTATTACACGAGCGAAAGAGTACGTACAATTTAGTCAATGATCATTTAAGGACGATCCCTTGAGTGAAAAAGATTTTCATACTTTTAATGACAACAAGGAAAAAACATTTTTGGGAAACTTCGTCCCTCATACTGTTAAAAATGAAATATTGAAACCGACTCTCAAGAAAATCGTAAGCAAAACGAGTAATCGAGTAAAACAGGACATCAGTCAACAAACTCGCTTACAAAATAAATTCTTGAAGAATGAACTGCTTGTGACGGCCTATAGAGATCTCCTCAGTAATGTCGAAAATATTGGTGACAGTAATTTCGGGATTTGGCATATTGTTGAGGCTGCTTTGGGAATAGTTCTTCTCCCATTGAGCTTGGCATTACTAATCGGTTTGGTAATTCCTATATTTATCATTAAAACACCTTTCGATGTCGTGACAAAACTTCGAAGTACAACGCCAACGGATGAGTGTAAAATTATAAATGAGATCGAACACAAGCTGATGGATGTGGAACACATTCTAGCGTCTTGTGGTAACGAAATTAAAGCATATGGTCGAAAGTTGCTCTCGAAGCATAAAAAACAATTCAAACAAAAAGTGATAGATCATTCTAAGATTGTCATGAAATCAATAAACCATCGAAAGAAAGCTTACGCGCTCGTGCGCAGGTATGCTGATCAATTTGCACGTATCGAATGTAGATTAGTGGCTAATCTAGATTTTGCTAAACATCATGGTATGAAACCTAATATCAATATTCAGGAAGAACTGAGTCGAGGTGGCTTCTTCTCGATACATTCTGCATCATGGGATGCTGAACAATCACTTGTCGCTAAAATTATACTTGATCCTATGGCACATCCTGATGTAGCTTATCTAGAAGCACATTTTCATCGTACTGTTGCCAACTTAAATATTGAACGCACGGTACCGCTTCGATATCTCTACGAAGAAGATAACAGTAAACTGTTGATTCTACTTCCTCGATACTCATCGAATCTACATGCCTATCTGTGCTATCATATGGTCGATGTAACAATGAATAAAGCTATTCAGATTGTATTTGATATCACTCGTGTTGTAGCTCACATGCACACCTACAAAGTCGTTCATCGTGACATAAAAGACTTTGGTACCTGTCAAAATGGTGTAGAAAACTCGTCTGTGATTGAGTCACGCCCGTTTGCGTCAGAACTAAGTGTGGACAATATCCATGATTTCACGTACAAAGGCTCGGGTGCCGATGTTTATGCGTTGGATGTACTGATGTACGTCGTGACACCTAAACCAACTTGCTATCCAATAACGCAACCTATTACTCAAGCTCATATTGATGCACTCATTAATATTTTAAAAAGTTACATCGATTTGATGCGGCGTTGTCTCTTAACTGAAGTCGAGTCGCGTCCAACAGTATCTGAAATGGTCAAAGAACTTGAAATGATCGCAGACCAGATTGCAAATTCTAAACCATGTCTAATGTGTTTGGATCGAGCGAGATATTCTCAATGCCTACCTTGTCGACACAAGATTTTATGCAACATATGTTTCAGTGAAATTCGACGACGAGCTACCGCTGCACAACCACCACAATGCATTCTTTTGTCGGCAAACAATCACAAATACAATAGAAGATGTCGATGCTAATACCTACATGGCAAACTAAATGTGTTAGTAGTTTTCGCATAAAATGACAGCTAGAACTAAAACCGATTTTTAACTACCACTAACTTTGCTCTGTTATAAAATCCTTTAAATAAACGAGAGACACGCCTATTTTTTCCCATCAAATGAGTATTTGTTGATGCTCCATTCTAATGTCAATAATAATCATAAAAGAAAAATTAGCAAAGCGACTCTTCAAAGAGTACAATTTTGAATTAGTAGATGCGAAACAAGGTTTAAAAGTCTTGAGGCATTCATAAATACAGAACGAACTGTGACTTTGTATAGCAATAACTAGACCAAAGGATCATAAGCATGGTCCATAAGAAAGTCATCAAGATGTGAGACGATGCGGTTTGGATTTGTCCTATCTAGTAATTAATTCGATGAGAAGGATGTGAATATGAGCCTTTTTTTCATACACAGTCTCACATCATCAGTCTCACAACCTTATAACCGCATTTGCTAAGCATCCACATCATATTTTGTATCTCATCAAATACTCGACAAATTTGCTTTACTTTTTATTTTATTATCGAGAATTCAGCTTTTTTTGTTGAGAACCTTTTTCTTTTCTTGATTCAAAAATTGCGACCACAATAAATAGAAGATAATATATATTTGATAAAAAGCTTACTAGGATATTGTATGTAAATATAAAAGCAAGCGAATTAATCTTAATTTGGTTTCGATCACTAATTTATTATCGTTTAATCCTGTATGAACATATATCATTCATTACAAGTAATATACTTTTTTTCTTTTATCGATCGACTGATTTCTTTGCTTTGAATAATTAAATTACTGTTTCTGTTGCACATGTAAGAGTAATTCCAAAATGCATTAAAATAACTCTTTCGATCAATCCGATTAATTCTCTTTTTATCGTTTCTTTGTTAGTACAACATTAACAATAATGCCTCTTTTGAGAAAGAAAATTATTCATTGTATTGTTGAATAGTTCTCTTTTATTCAAGAAACAGAACATCTACTTATCTTTGCAATGTAAGAACATATTGGAAAAGTCTTTCCATGCAATATGTTCATATTTATATATATATCACTGAATAATTGATAGATATGATTCTATCTACGTGTTCCACAAGATAGAATTTCTCTATATTCGTACCTATATCTGTTACGACTGAAAAGTTTTCTTTCTGTCAAAAATCTTGATTTACCAATCAACAAAGAACCAATTACAATATATTATTTGCAACTTCTAAGCCCATTTCATACTCTTACTAATGACAGTACTTTTTGAGTAATCATTCAACTTTCTAAGCATCAAATCTATATTCACATATTTCAACTAGAAATCCTGTTAATTCATACATGTGATAAATATTTGCTTGTTGGCACTCGTCACTTTTTTGTATCATTTGTATAGTGTATATATTACTTTGATATATTAGTTTGATTGCGTGAAATTTATGTCTGATCATATTTGATTGGATGTAGTATTTTCAATGTCTCAATCATTCTATAAAAGCAATATGTATTCGAATATAACTTATAAAATATAAACTAATTCTTTATATTGAATGAGTTTATTTTCAATAGCGAAAATTTCGACCGTATAGTTAAATTTAGTTATAAAATGAAACAATCCTTGATTAATCATTTACTCATGATCAAGAAAAAATTTTCTTTTCAAGGTGAAACAGTTCAATATAGCAAATTTTATATTGATGATTTTGAATGATTTTTTTCAAGTTAATTCTTATCATTTATTTTATTCATGTGATTACTTCCGATATATATCAAATACATAAACATTATATGTCTATATTCTTATTGTTCACACATAATATTAATATACTAATGTCTTCTGTTTTTATTCTCTTATGTCTTGTATATATTTGATAATATCAGAAGGACAAAACTGATTCTAAATGAATGTCGACTATTTTTCCTAACTCTCTTATCTTATGTGTTAGTTTTTCTTATCTCGTAATACGAAACAGTCAACACATGACTGTTTGATATTCTAATACGAGTGTCATATTTGACGCCTGAATGCCTACTAGTGGAGCTATGTAACATATCGATTTCGAGAAAAAGATCAAAATAAAAACATATAGCTATTGAGCATAAAAGTTTGAAATGAAGTAAGTACCATATACGATTAATATTTAATTGAATGCTACATTCATTTTCGTGTAGTTTCATTCTCAAGATTTTAGCCATTGAACATTCGAAGATCTTCTATGTACATTATAATAAAATTGGTCATTTTCGTAAACATTCATTTCGAATACGACTTCAAGAACTAGTCTTTTAGGTTTTCCAAAAAGATCTATTAACTATAGATGAGATAGTTCGATTGATCGTCATTTATATGCATATTATCATGATATTAATAACATGCTATAGAATAGTCAGCTCAGATCAACATCATTGATTTTTGGAAAATTGGACATGAAAAAATCTCATGAATCTTTCTTAGAAAATAGAGTAAGACTAGAGTTCAAAATAATAGAATTAGTTTTTTCCTTCGTACAAATTTTATAGTCAAAATCGCAATGCTATAGTTAAAACATTTTTCAAAAAAACAGATATATGCGTTTCATACTCGTGTTTTCTTTTGTGTGAAATGACCATGTTGCCTATCACAATTTTTCTCTTTTACTTGATTGTAATTAAATATTGTTTTACTAATTATACTTAATGTACATTGTGACTCTTGTGCTATTGTTTCTAATGTCATTCAATCTGTCATTATTTCTGTGACTATTTTAGCACGTTCAAGATAAATAAAAACCTCATTTTTCTTATAAATATTTATGATGAGACTTGAGTTTTATTTACTGAAATGAAAGTATCACCACTATTAAAAACATAAACAATAAATCATAATGCTATTTTGTCCGACTTTATGCTTGATAGTTTACAACGCGAGGAGTCCATCCAACCAAACTTGTCCTATTTTGACAAACTCGAATTTTTCTTTCAGATACAAACGTTGTTTCATTAAATCCATTTATAGTTCAATTTTTATTCAATATCACTATAGGAATCCAAAAAGAGTGTAGTATCTTCTTCGACTTGAACTATAGCGAATACCTATACATTATGATTTCGCTGTCTGAATTCGTGATTTTTCGGCCGGAATCCGCAAGAAGTTTGTCTTTTTCAACCGAAAAACTCGGGATAATAGTATGAAATGTGAAATAGTGTTATGATGACCATGTTCGATGACAGGCTCTATAGCCGGTGCTTGTCGGCAAAGGAAAAATCTGGCCGCTAAATCCGGACATTGTATTTCTGTTTCCACTTTTTTTAAATTATTTTTTGAGTCTTTCGAACGGAAACGCCCAAATATCATTTACCTAGATACTACCAATAATACGAAAATCCTTGAATATGTCTTCACATTCTTAAAAAAAGTTGATTTTTTTTTGTTGAATTATATTGTCTGAAAAAAGTTTTTACGAAGATATCTTAAATTAATGTTTTTGAGAATTGAATAAATGATCATATGGACTTCTACATCAGAAACTAATAGTTAGAGTTTCTAACTTAATGATTCCTTTTCAAAAGATTTCACTTCGTTTCGAAAAAAATTATATATGTAAACAAAATTTTACAAAATTCTTACTTAATCAGTTACTTCTTCCTTGATCGCTCGAGTGACCATTTGTCGAACAATTACAAAAAATAAAAAAAAGCACGGAATTATAAAAACTTTGAGTACATGTCTCGTAGTGAACTCCATAAACTATCAATCGATAAATTTGAAAAAAACCGCAAAAGTTGAAGGTTTTTAAATAAAATGTTTTTTTTTGAGGATGGAAATGTTTTATGTGATATATATATAAAGATTAGAATATCTACTACTGTTACCAAGACCATTCGAAAGTTTCACAATCAAAAATCTTTATACAACGTTACTCCGTCAAACTATATCAAAAATAAATCTAAATCGTATTTAATTTTCAGATTGCTCTATATTTACATAATAGTGACAAAGCTTAAGTCAAAAGAATCGACTAAAAATCAATCGGCTATAATAAAGCATTTTTCTGGCAGGTAATGACATTTTAAAAAAATGTCGCAAAAAAAGAAGATGCCGTATAAAAACTCATGTCATTGATGAAAGGTCAAGCCTTGAGGTTATCTTTTCATGCATTTATCTTGATTTCGATAATTCTGACAAAAATTGACTTTTTTTTTTTGATAGGGGGAGGCGGCGAAGGACTGAAGAAAGCAGAAACTCAAACTATATCTATATAATTAGATTAATATTTCTTGGTTATTTTTTAGCTGTAAATTGTAGACTATTAATAAACTTGAAAAGGATTATACTTGTTTCCTACATAATTATAATGAATTTGAAGGTAATGTTAATGTACAATCAATCATGCTTCAATCTCATATTACTTTTTTTCTCGTTAAGTACTTTATTTTGAAGAAATAAGTTGTGTTCGGTACAAAAAAAGCATTTCCTATGAAAATCTTTCTAATGAAATTGATTCATTCTAATACTAAAAAAGTTGTCTTAAACTATTACAAAAAGAAAAAAAGAAAATCAATATCGCATGCATCAGAACGAAACATTTGTTTAAATATATCAGACTCTCAAATAAAGTTAATTGTATCCATTAAGACTTAAAAATATGTATAGGATACAATTAAATGAATGTTTAATTCTTATTAATAGCTATGAGTTGATTCTTGTTTGAATTTATTATAACTACTACTATATACTTATGATCAACTGTTCTATTACATTGTTGATGATATATATGTAACATATTGATGGAATAATAATAATTCTAGTATATGATAAAGTTGGTGTATTTCATTTTATTTTATTATTGTTCTATCAAATGAATTTATATGTTAATGTTTTGCTGAAAGAAATACCAATGAATTAAGCATCTTTCTACTTGTTTTTTTCTTTTTTGTAATTGAAATCTTTTATAGATAAAACAAACAAAGTAATAATTTTCTTGTCTTTTTTTTTTCTATGTCAAAAAGAATTTCGTATTATTTGATGAATGTGAGATTATCATTTATAAAAAAAACAGTCAATAGAGAAAAGAAAGAAAAAAAAAAAGATATCTAGTTTTCATTCAAATCAAAGAAAGAATCAAACAATCAATTCACACATTCATCCATCTGCACACATTTCTACAATTTTCGAAAATCGCAACGAAGTAAACGTGTATAAGTTTTTTTAAATTGTCGATTGGCAAGTGCATAACAAAATGGATTAATTGGACTATTTAAGTAGCAAAGAAAATAACAAGCATGAAAGAGATATGTATTAAACACAATGCTTTCACGACATGTTTTGCAAAATGTTTGAATTATTGTATGAATATGCCACTAAAAAATAAAAATAAAAAAACAATACAAGAAAATCAATTTTCAAATTTTAAGACATTCCTTAGAAGAAATTATAGATTCTCCTGATAGGAACAATTCGTAAGACTATTATTCAATATATATATATTGAAAATGTCAGAATACATCTAAAAATTATTCAAGGCTATAGACCTAAAGGAAAGCATTTGATGTGACTTTTCATTCGTACTCAATCTATAGACAACAAATGAGTGAAGAATGTTAGATCGAAAACATACTATATAATCTTGCTTGATTTGTTCTTAACCTTTTGACAATGAGAAACGTATGTATGCATAGATGTTGAGCTTTTACGCAGATTCTAACTAGTACAATTAATTATCTTTACTAGGTTATAACAGTCTTTTCTTTTACCCTTATGTGACTAATATCACGCAGCATCATTAAATAGTACGATTATGTCAAGATATCAAGAAGAAACAAGGGAATTTGAAATCTCAATACACTTGAAAATCGAGAAAATGTCTATACTCAATACCTTTTTAAACAATATGAAATGAAACAGATTTCTCGTAAAATCGTATTGATGGAGCTAAGGCTACTATAAAAGCTCTAATGATATAGATCATATATTCTATTTAATTGTACAATTTCAAAATCTAATAAAGTTCGATAAAGGTCTCATTTCAATTTTGAAAAGGTTACGAACCGGTGTCCAACATATAACAAATGCACCCATAATAACAGTTATAGTACGTAATGCTTTTCGTGCTTTACTACTAGTACCACCGTGTCGACCGAACAGTTTTTGTCTTGTTGTAGGCGATAGTGAAGTTTTATTTTGTGTAATAGGTAAAAGTATTCGATTTTCTTCTAATTTTTTAACTGATTCAACACCAACTCGAGTTATATTAAGCAAATTAGTTAAATTTGAAGCAAGTGTAGTCACTGATGTACGTTCACCATTAGTTTCATTTGATAATACAGGTTTAATAACATCAAGTCCATTTGATAACCTTTTGTTATTATTATTATTATTATTATTATTATCATTATCATTATCATTATTATTAATAAATGAACTTCCAACATCATCATCAATACTAATCTCATATTTTGATATTGATGATAGAGTTGATTGTTGTGTTGGTTTCATTTTTTTTGATCGTAGAGATGATGATGAAGTAGCTGTTGCTTGTGTTAGGTGATGATTTTTAGACATATTTAATACAAAATTTGTCAGATTAGATGATGAAACGCCTATTATATTTGATACTTTTTTTGCATTTGCTTGTGAACGTTTTTCAAGTGCACTTGCAACTTGATAAATAAAAAAATAAAGTGTAAACATAACTAATAATGTTACCCAAAAATAACCAATAGTCAAACCTTAGAAGAAGAAAAAAAACAAAAAAAATTTAATCTAATTATTTCATATTTAATAGAACTAACCTAGATTAAAATAAGCATTCTTATTCCATTGTACACTAAAAAATAAAAAATAAATGTCATGGCCTTTGTCTTTAATACTATAAAGACTTCCGGCAATAAATACACTTACTCGCATTGTAGATCAGTAATACTTAAATTTGGCTTTTTACTGTATAATGGATATCCCATAGTTGAAATAAAAAATATTAATGCAGGTACAAACCATGTTAAAAGCACCAAAAAAATAATTCGTCGTTTTGTTCTCCAATTTCGATATTTAGCAGGAATTTTAACTGAACAAAAACGATCAACAGTAATTAAAAGTACCGTATAAATAGATGCTAAGCATATAGTATAATCCAATGATAACCATATATCGCATAAAAACGAACCAAGCACCCATTGATTTTTATATATAGCTAATGTTAAAAAAGGCATTGAAATGCAACCAATTAAAAAATCACTTATAGCTAATGAAAATATAAAATAATTTGTCGGTTGACGAATTTGTCGATCAACGAAAAATGAAACAAGTACAAGTACATTACCACTTATAGTTAGTAATGATGTAAATGTACCAATAACAGCAAGTGCTATATTGACTTGTAATGGATAAGGATGTGTTGATGAAATAAAAATTGTTGATGATGAATCTTGAAAATCATAATTGGTCAAATTATACAATGTCAATGAGTCGTTAAAATATATAAGCGAAAGTTGTTCTAACATACATATAATAATAAAGAATATTTTTTATTTTAAAATAAAATATTTGTCTACAATAAAACAAATTCAATAATATATATTATTTATTTGTTTTACATCAAATAAATTTGTCTAAATTACCTGATGGTTAGTGTATATACTCGTCACTTATCTAAAATATATGAGATAGAAATAGAAAGAAAGAGAAAAATATTTCTCTTATTTTGTTAGAGACACAGAGATAGATATTGATGATATTTATCTTCATTCGTCTATCGTTCGCGTTCCAAAGAGGAAGATACACATAGTCAATAAACCAATATATTTAGTTTATAGTAATAATAGACATATTTTTCTGTTTCATTTCCATCCTATTGAAATATTCGAGTTCTATCATTGAAATCGTTCAATTGTTTTCTTGCATTGGAAATAGCAAAGTCGGATATTTTGTTTCTTTATTTTCAACTTATGTGCTTATAATGATAATCATTTATCAAGAGACAATCGTTCTAAACGTTGTTACCCTCTTTTTTCTAGCTAGTTTTTTTTCTGAAGAACGCTTTTGTTCTTCGTTCTCATCAAATGCTATTCTTCTTGCCAATAGTCATCAATTTATTCATAGATATAAAGAAAGCCAAAACAGCGGACAAAACGTTTATAGAAATCGTCTATCGTTCGTTCGTTCGTTCGTTCGTTTCCTTATTTTTTTTCTTTTCTTTTTCTCTTTCACTTTGTTACAAACAACAAAAAAACTCTATCATTAAGTTATCTCTACAATTGATTTCTTTCTTTTGTTTTGTATTAATCGAACACTTGTTATTGTACCTTTCTCTTGAGATGCAACAAATGTAATAGATTATTTTATGAATGAAAAACCGAGTAAACATGAGTAATATTGTTGTTATACAAACATACACACCCAAAAGAAACTCTTTACGTAATTTATCATACAAGCCTTGAATTGTCGATAGATGTTATCAGTTCGTCCATCTCTTTTTCTTCTTAATTCGATTCTATCTAAAAAAAGATTGTATGCTTTACTTTGTCTCTAATCAACGTTTATTACCTTCTGATGTCGTCAGTTTACTGGAGGCGGTGAAAAGTAAACGAGCAAGTGTGTGCAAAAGTTCTATGATGATAAATGAGTGTATGTTGTAAGATATGGGTGGTGCTTCCTCTGCTTGTTGAATGAACTAAAATAAAATGTTTATCGTTGTCGGACATAAACATACGAAGCGTAACAATTGAATAATAAAAAGCGTCAAAAAAAAATGTAACCAATTTATAAGAGATAGATGATATATATATAGATATGTATTCACTAGAAAAGTCAAAATAATGCCAAATTGATACAGTTTGTCGGAACAGGCGTGCGCATGTTATCAGATTATAATATATATGAGAAAAAAAGATTTATTCATCAACACCTACCAAGCGAAAAAATCTCGAGAATTTATTTGAATCATTGGCATACATGTTGAGTAGACTTAAAATAGATACTGACGAATTGAGTAGTCATGTGTAAACACTATTTATTCGTTTTATATTTTATAAATCAAGACTATAATCGATCAAATAGCACGAGAAATAGATAAGATTTCATCAAGATATAAAATAACCAAAAATACATATTTTGTTTTTTTCATTAATATAATAAATAGAAAATGTTTTCTATATTTGATTTGATCTGTTTTTTCAAATCGATCATAATTCGTTACTTCATAGAAAATAATTAATCTTATCTTGAGCGGTTGTTTTTTTCTCAATCAAACAAAAAGACATAGGAAATAAAACTGAAAAATCATCTCTATCAATTCACAATAATCATAATAACAGATATATCATCTTTGAATTCTATTGGAAAATTTTTGATTCTTTTATAATTATTTTATTTTTTATTATAACATGTATTCAAAAAACAAACAATCATTTCACAGCAAACAATTTTTCTAAATTTTTTAACATGAGAAAAAAAAAATCATTTGATTAAATTAAATTAAAAAGAAATGCATAAATTTGATTATTTTCATTGCAGATGTATCTATTAAAGATCTTGATGAACTTTTAATTCAGCACCCCAATCAGTTGCTTGACTACCAACAAAAACATCATGTTTATCAAGAATTTCAGCTTTTGTTAATTGATTATCCTTTTAGAAAAACAAATGAAATCGAAATTAATAAAAGAAAAAAAAAAAGAAATAATTACTTGATTTTTATCCGCTTCACGAAATAAATGTGAAGTTTCAGCTTCAATATTATCATAATCAACTGGCATTAACCATGATTCAACTTCTTTTCGATTTAATTTTCCATCATGATCAAGATCACGATAATTAAGAAAATTTTCTCGTTCTATTTGTACCCAATCAGGTTCAGTTGTATTAGTATTTTCAGTACTATCCCACATATCATTAAGAAATTCTTCAAGTGATATAAATCCATCTTTATTTTTATCTATATCTTCAATTGTTTCTGTTATAACAAGATCTTTCATACGAAGACTTTGTTCTGGATGAATAAAATCAGCAAATTCATTTTTATTTAAACTTCCATTACCATCTTCATCGGCTTTAGTAAATCTGTTTCAAAGAAGAAGAAACAAAAAAAAAAGAATTCTCGTTTTTCTATTCAAAATATCATCAAAAGAAAAGTCTTTCAGAGCAAGCTTTAGCTTACTAATATTTATGAAAGATAAGCTTTTCTAAATAAAAACAAATGGGATAATAAGAATGTTTTCAAGGAAGGTATTTAAATTGATTAGTTTCTTGCTGTCAAGAGGTTACACTTTCACGTAGTTTTTAAATAACTGCCATAGTAACCTCGTGAGATGCCTAGATATTTGACAAGTTCGATATGAGATAATCAGTATCAATAAAATTAATAGATATTCTCTCGATAATTTACAATATAAAAAGAAGTAAATAGATATAATGTCAAGATGTATGTTGTATAACTCTAACAGACAGACTAAAATATGAGTCCATCACTTAGGGACTCACAGGCATACAACTACAACTCACTATATATTTCTCTCTAGTGTTAATAAAGTAAAACTTATGGAATTAGATAAGAGAACATAGCGATAAAAACATAGAAAAAAGAAAAGATATCATCAGATGACAACATAGATGATGACATTCCTTCTAGGATTACTAGAAAAACTGTTTTTCGAATTTCGACTTGAAACTTTGCATAGAGATAAATCTTAACAAAAAGAGTTTCAGGTTTATCGTTTTATCTTAGGATACGAAGAGCGACGAGCTCTGGAACATTCACAAAAAAACTATTCTTGTTAAGGTCTATCTCTAAACAAAGTTTCAAGTCGATATTCGAAAAGCAGTTTTTCTAGTGTTTTTAAGGGGCGAACGTGTAACATCATAACAGGATCTAATGTAGTTAATTTTCTTATATTGATGCTAGAAAGAAACAGTGAATTGTTTGGTCTAACTCTTATAGTTATACAATATACATCTTGACATTATATTTATTTAGTTCTATCTATGATACAAATTATCAAGAGAATATTTATTAATTTTATTGATATTGATCATCTCGTATCGAGCTTGCCAAATATCTAGACATCTCAGGAGGATATCACGACAGTCATTAAAAAATATCATAAAAATTTAGTATCTTTGCAGCAAAAAGCTAAGGCCAAAAACACTTTTCAGGTTATTTGTAGGTCATTTGATGCTCCACATAATTGTACATAGTCTTGACTCAACAACGATTTATCAATTACACAAAAAATTCAACGAATAAATATTCAAAAACATCATAGATTTATCGACAGATCTATTTGAGTTTTAGTACCAACATGTATTTGTCAAATTATATTTTTTCTTATTTAAAACGGCTAGTACAGATTGTTGCGCAAAGTCTCATAAACAAAAGAATTCTCCGACAATCATTCATAGGTCACGTCGTCACGAATGTGTGTAGAATGGGAATTCATTCATTGATTTTATATATTCAGAAAAAATGAAACAATCGTAAGAGTCAAGAGAACAAAGAAAGATTAGGTCACAAACGACTGATTAACTAAATCAAAACAATTTCGATCTGACACCTATATACAAAAAATGACGATGAAACGATGAATATTATTCTATAATTAACATAATACTCAAGTGTTACATTCTAACCAACATAGTAAACAATGTAGAAACATTGATAATTACCTTCGTCGATCTTTCTTTTGTAATCGAAGAAATTGTTCTGTTATTTTGTCCGATTTTTGAGTATTATCATCTAGTTAAAATAAATATTAATTAATGATCTATGTAAAAGTTCTTAGAAAAATATCTATGAGAAATCTATGTTGAATATGTTTTTTTTAACTATACAACCTCAAGGAAAAAGTTCCGACATACCTTATTTCTGAGAAATTAATGAGTACATATTTACATATATAGTTAAATGTCATATGTAAAGAATAATCGATATTGTTGTATGTTTTAACATTTTTCCTACGCGCACTATTGTATGTTGTTGCTCTTTTCTTCATTAAACTCGACGAACCGTATAGAAAATAAGACAACATTTCGTTTTCAAGATCGATTCTTTTGACTGTAGACATAGTGTACATTACTTGTTACAGATTATTATATTTTAGTACGGTTGAAGATGTATTTGTTATGACAGAACTTTCTTTTTACAATTAGAAAGCAATTTTACAATAGATTCTGAAAATAGATATTTTTGATTTGTCCAGAACATGTGTTAGCTTATGTAAGAAAAAGGAAACGACATTTTCCTACGCACATTTGCATTAATCATTATATAATTTTAATTTATGTATGCCAAGTAGTGGGAGACGTACTGAAAATTCTAATATAAAATTTAAAACAAAATACCTTTCTCTCCATATGATCTGATAGTAAAAATTCATGTTTTACGTTTTTGTAACATTTGATCATTCTCTAATTAATATCATTATCATAAACTTTAGATAAGAACTATTTGTCATGATCTGTGACGGTAATATTAGATAACATCTTGCCTTCGGTGTGTATCCTGATCTTGATACTCTCCTAACTCTTGTTTTTATCTTGTCGCGTCTAATGTCTAGTCGTCTATATATACTTTGGTACACCACTAGTGATGTCGAAAGAACAAAAAAGGAGTACCGAAGTACGTTCATCATTGTTCACTTAAGTAATTCTTTCAATTTAGCATCATATGATTTTTAGCTATTTGAAAGTTGAGTGTTTATCATAGGAAGATGCAATGAGATTTTGACCTTGCTACCGTGTTTTTCAAGAAACTTTCGTGAATTCTTTAACTTTCGAAAGAGTATCATTTCATTTGCAACATATTGGAACAACAGTCTTATATACAATTCAAGTACGTTAGACGGTGCTAGTTCACATCATGTGCTGTATGCTTTCACAAAACTTTCTTTCTTAGAACTTGGTTTTCTATAATAAAAAATGAAACGCCTCCCACTCGTTATTTGGTTGATTTCTGTATTGAGAAATGTCACATTTTCATTGCTTATTTTAACATCATATGTACTAAAATGGTCATATAATATGAATGAATGGAAGTGATTGTCCTGAGGACAATTATTTCGAACATTCTCGAGCATTGATTTAACTATCAAACTATACAGAAAGACAATTTTTTATAAGGTTTTTTTTATAAGTGATTAAAATACTTTCGCCACTATTTGTAAGTATGCGCTAAGTAATACTATAATAATCTTACATAAAGCATAATATGTTGTTTTATCGTATTCATCCCATGAGATTTCATTATTTGAATCATTATTCATTTGTTTCCATTGTCGTTCAACATCATCAGTTATATAACGTGTTTGAACAGATTTTATCCAATCTTTTAATTCTTGTTTTGTTATTGTACCATTATGATCTTTATCAATACGATCAAATAGAGCACTAAAATTTATCAACATGAATTTTCTTAAATTAAAGACAATATTTTCATTTTTTACCCAAGACGTTTTTTGCTTTCTTCAACGGTTAATTTTTCAAATTTTTTTGCTTCTTCAGTACCTAAAAATGCTTCATGATCATAAGCTGTATTGTGTTCTACTGTTTGATCTTTATTCAAATCAGCATAATGTTCTTGTTGACTTAATGGCTAAAAAAATTAAAATTGCATCGATTAATATTTAGTTAAAACACACACACAAAAAACAAGTAACAATTACTAACTAAATCAAGTACACGTGATTTATGATCATTTTGTGTTCCCGTTGGTAGAATACCAGCATGACATGAAAGGATTAATACAGAATACAATGTCAAGAGTAACATTATTATCTGAAAGAGAAAAAATATCAAACAAAATCTTGAAAAATGTAAGATATCGCCATAATCATTTGATTCAATTTATTAATGATGCATAAATATTGAGATTAATCTATGTTAGGAAAATGCAATCGAACGATATCATAATGCTTTAGCAGCAGAACAAGATAGAAAGAATTGTCTTGTGTTCACTTCTAATTGGTCATCTATTATTAAAAACTAATGCAATATAAACAAGATTCATAAGATTATGGAACGTGTAAATCATTTGTTTGTTCCAATTAAAACTTAAAGTTCTTCTAGAAGATTATCGAGACTTATTTCATTTTTATCAAATAGCATTTGTTTGCTCTTCTTTCCACCCATCATCATCTTCTACATTTGTTGACGAACAACAGCTTCTTCTTTCTTGAGATAATTAAATAAATGATTTATATGAAACTAGCTAAGAGATAAAATAATAAGAGAACATTCTTCAAGATTGTCTTTCTCGTATTTTACATTAATTCTAATAATCTTGACGATTCTGTTTAGAGCGTAATCTCTATCTACTAGTCACATATTCCAAGCATTAATATATAACAGTATTAATTAAAAAGCTGGAAAAAATGTTTTTTTTTTGACAACATAAGGTTAAGAATCGCCTCCATTTCTCAACTACAATTCATCTGATCGAATTGAAACTTTATTCTATTTATACTAGGAAATATTTAGGTTCACTAAGATCTCCTTGTTTCAAAGTATAATGTACTGTACGTTTTACAATAAAAAGTTCCACCGAATTCGAATGAAAAAAGATGAATAATAAGCAAGAGTGTTTTAAGTCTGTTGCACATAGACAGTAATTAAATTGATTTATTATATTATAATTTGTATAAACATGAATGTCATAAAGTTCAATTGTATATTCTAAAATAAATAAATCAAATAAATTTTTTCAACTTACAATTACATTCAAAATAACGTTTGATTTATAAATTATTCATTAGTTGAAAATATTCTTTATTTTTAATACAAAAATTTTAATTCATCTAAAAAATAAATCAATCAAGTAAATCCATAAGAATATCACTAAGTATGGTTGTATTTATTGTTATAGCTTGTTTAAATATTAAATGTTGTTCATTAGTTAGCATATGATTATTTTCTATACATTTAATTAAAATTTTATGTAGAACTTTAGAAAATGATAAATTATCTGAATAAATTTTTGATGATATTGCAATTTTTTCAGGTAAAATATTTAATAAATCATTTGAAAAATAAAATTCTTTACTATCAAACCATTTACTTATTATACATAATTCATTATCATTAAATGGACATGTGCTATTTTGACATAAATACGTACATAATTTACAACGATCAGATAAATTTGTTAATTGAGTAAAAAGATTTGAAAGAAATAAATTTCTATTATCTGTTGTAATATTACTATTATTATTAAGCCATGGTATGAAACAATGAAGAAAAAATTCTTCAGGATATTTATTCATTAATTCAACTATTGTAGAAAAAATATCATTGGAAATATTAAATGAAACATCAATAAACCATGAATAAATTAATGAATGAAAACGTTTTGAGATTATATTTGAATCTGATTCATTGAGTATTGATGATAAATTTTCTATTGTACGTTCTAAATTATTATCAAAGATAATTTTTATCATTTAAGCCTACGATAAAATTTTAAATAATATCTCTCTAGATGAATGTCTCTGCGATGATCAAAATGAATCGTTCCTCAGTTAGAAAATGTTTCTGTTTAGTATTAGATAGTTAAATAATCATTATAAAAAACAAACAATTGTTTCAATAAAAATGCGAGGATCATTCTTTATAGATCAATTATTATCTGTATTCTATTATCATATTGAATTTCGTACGAATTTGCGTTTAAGTTATTGATCTTTGTATTTACTTTTCTATATAAACTTTGAAATATCATCTATATACTGACAACATATTCCAAGAACTAATAGTGGGCTGAAACTTTTTTCTATTAACTACGCCCGAAAGTGTTGGTTTACAAAATCAGACTTCACTTAAAAAAACATGCACCTTTTAGGTTGCGCACACTATTTTAATCTTTTCATTCAAACGAAATTAATTCGTACCTTCTATTTTTGTATCATTTGTTGTTGAAATATCTTCATCATAATCTAAATTTTCTATAACATCAATATGAACAGTAAATCGTAAACGATTTGGATCAATATTATTTATTAGAGTATTTTTTGTTGATCGTTGACGTTTAGGAGAAATTTTTCTAGGTATTATTGTTTTAATAATATTTTTAGATCGTATTTCTTGAATATCACGTTTAATAATATCGAAAATTTTCTTTTCTTCATCGTTATTCGAAATAAATTCTAAAAGATTTTGAACAATTGTCCTATCCGAAAATGATATATATTCATAATTATATGATATTGGAAATGTATTTAACCAAAATTGTGCTAGACTTTCTTTTGATATAGTTGCCATTGATCATTAATATAAGATTTCTATAATGTATCTCGTCATTCATCGATTTTTCTTATTATTTCATTTATCCAATACAATCAAATGTTTCATAGTGATATCTATCGAAAATATTGCTTTATTTAACCAATCATATTTTTATGATGAAATCTATATACCATATGAAATACATTTATGTTCTTAAACAAATGAGCAAGTTCTAGATGAATAATAAAAAACTTATTTTATCTTCTATAATAATTCGTACACTTTTTCGTAGAGCACGTAATCCAACAACCAAAACTTATGATATAATTACAAGTGGAGCATATAAAACAAATAATCTTCCACGTGTTGTACCAAAAGAAATTCCACGACCAAATAATATTTATAATTTAGTCACTGGACCATATCAATCATCAATACTTATTAAAAATCAATGGCAATTAGAAGGTATACGTGCAGCATGTCGTCGTGCTCGTACAATAATTGATCGTGTATCTGATTCTGTACAAGCTGGTATAACAACAGATACAATTGATAGATTAGTACATGAATTATGTATATCACTTGGTTGTTATCCTGCACCACTTCATTATGAGAATTTTCCTCGTTCATGTTGTACAAGTGTTAATAATATTGCATTACATGGTATACCTGATGATCGACCATTAAAAGAAAATGATATACTTAAATTAGATGTATCCGTTTATTATAATGGTTTTTTTGGTGATGTTTCCGAAACATATCTTGTACCAGGAACAGATAAAACTAAAATCTCAATTGATAATGATGCACTTTATCTCATTACACATGCACGTCGTTGTCGTGATCGTGCTATAGCTGTATGTCGACCTGGTATTGAATTTTCAGCTATTGGTCGTGCATGTGAAGAATATATAAAACAATGTAATGGTTTAAATATAGTTAAAAGTGCCTGTGGACATGGTTTAGGTGAACAATTACATGAACCACCCCAAGTATTACATTATTATGATCCAAATGAAAAACAAATGCAATGGATTATGAAAGAAGGTATGGTTTTTGCTATTGAACCTGTTTTAACAGATGGTAATGGTCGTGTTAAAATGTGTGATGATGATATACAAGTATGTACAACTGATAATTCACGTTGTGCACAATTTGAACATACAATTGCAGTCACATCAACTGGACATGAAATATTAACTGAAGGAAAAGCTGATATGCGTCCGAATATTCTTGAAAGAAAAGCTGTTTTTGTATAAAAATTTATTTTCGTTTTTTTTTCGATATTTATATAAATATCTATCGAATATTATTTACTTTTAGATAAAAAAAAAATAAATCACTTTCTTTTATCAAGAGAATATATAGATCATTGAATTTATTTTGAAACAATTGATGTAGACTTTTCTTTTCTTTAGTGATTTATTCAGATTTCATTATTTTCATACCAAACTATTTCACTATGACTTTAGATGTTGTGCTAATAATCAGTTTTCAGATAAATGAATATCTCGTAATAAAATGCCCGATAACATTGAAAAGATCATTAGATTCATAGCTGGAATTTTCAGAATGTATAGAGTAATAGTCATGTTTTTATGTAAATTGTTTCAACATAAAGTAAATAATCGGTAGTTTCAAGGGACGTCTACTCCTACTTTCCAACAGTTTTCGAGAACAAAGTTGATAATGTGATTACAACAATCGATGCTACTTTTGTTTTCCAAGTAAAAATAGCATTCATTCTTGCAATCTAATTGGTAGTTCGATTCGAGAAGGAAGCATTAGAAAATGTTTGAAAGTTTTACAGAAGATAGATCTCGATGAATAGAACAAAAATTGTCATAGGCTGAAAATTCTGGGATTTTTCTAGATAGAAAGCTAAAACTTTCAAGAAAGATAGTAGACCTTAAAGATTACAGTTCTATGTCACTTTTCTGGACAAAACAGAAATTTTCCATTTACATGATTTTTGCTAAGAAAATTAGAAAAGCCCTCGTAACTGTTGAAAGAAGCACCATCAATCAATATCTTTTTTTATTTTTTTACCAGCTCGATACCCTCTATCCATCGACGGAGAATATTATCTAAAAATGCTTCTGGACAGGTGCAATAAGTTTGATAGGGCTGAAAGTTTTTTTTCCAGATATTAGACATTGTTTAGATTGTTTATTCTTTTTTAGTTTGTTGTAATCATCTTTCGATCGAATAAAAACACGAAAATCATAAGAGTACTCTCATGAATGCATGTCTTTTTTTGTCAAAGAAAAACTTATTTTTTTGATGTTTTACGTTGTTTAGCTATAGATTAATTCTTGTAATATGCGTCTAGTAGATAGAGAATATTTCGAATTGTATATAGTGCAGAAAATCAAAGAAAAACGAAACTATTTTCAGTTGGAAAGACAGAGTTCTCTTAAGAAAACTTGCAGATATGAGTCATTTATGTTTGTGCAATGATAATTAAATAAAGTCGTAGCATTGGTTCATCAAAGCAGATGTGATTAACTAGCTAGTTAAAAAAAAAGAGTCCTTAATTGATGGCCGTGATTTCCTCACTAAAACCAGAGATATTGATTTGCGAATCTTGATCTGAAACTTTCCATAAAGACAGGCCATATTCACAATATTTTATATACACCAACAACTTTCGATGTGCTTATTTCAGGATAGAAACAAATCAAAGGTTCTAAGGACTACCATGTTGTTCATTTAAAAACTGCAAGGTTTTTAAGTAATCAGCTAAAAGCTGAAATTCTCTTGATTATATTTATAGTTTATTAGAACCTACATATGACGCATAGTCTCGACTTACAAGTGATTAATTTATTATGAGACTTTCTTTGAAAGTTTATTATTCATATGTAAAGTGAATAATGGATATTTTAAATAAATTGAATTTTCAATAGTATAATTTAAAATTTCAAGTAAAACTAAATAATATAAACAGATAAACAAAAAAATGATTTATTAAGATGCAACTCAAAGTCATGAATATTGTAAAAAAACAGTGAGTTATAATGAAAAAAATGTGTTTGTTTTAAAAAAACTTTAAATATAGACTGTTATACAAGTTCGGTGGTAAAAAGAATGTCAATGGCGCAAGCAGTTCGAATGAATCTTTTTTTGACATACGATCTAAAAAGTGTGCCGAAGCATATGGCTAGAAATTTTGACTCTTTATTGTATTTCTGAACGATTAAGTAAAACGTTGATGAAGACATGTGTCCTAAAATAAATATAACAAAGTAGTCTCGCCGTTATTAATAATAGCATCTGAACCGTGTTTCACATTTTAGTCCTACAGGGTGTGGATGTGGGTGGAATGAAGACTCATAACTAAACGCACACCCTATTGGTTAATAAAGCATATATGTATTTCAATCTTACTGCTTTGATCATTGAATTTTTTCCTAATATGAATAAATTCACTACAATGTTTTTTTTTCATATCTGAGAGGAAAAAACCAAACATCTTAAGGTTTAATGATGATAGTAAGAAGAGTTGGTGGAAGTGTTGAAGAAAGTGGTGCTTCTTTTTAAAACCTTCAACTCAAATTAAATAAAAAAAAAATATTTTTTTTTTGCTTTACGTGAGATGAGATTAAATGACAAGTAATAGCAAATTCTCGTTCATCTAAACGACCATCGACTGTTATATCAGCAAAATCCCTAGAAGAACAAAAATGAATGACTGGTTTTTTTTTTGAAATCATTAAAAATTACATTTACCAAATTTTTCGAAGAATATCTGCATGTAAACCTGATTTAACAAAAAATTTCGTGCTTGTTCATCTTAGAAAAGCAACTAAGAAAAAAAATAAATTCATCATTAAAAATTTTCTTCAAATTGATGCCCATAACATAGGCTTGTATTGGACAACATTGTTGAACGTATGTTTTGTACTTAGTTCGTTCTTCAGCACTAATTCTCCAATCACCTGAATATACATTATTTCAATATTTACATTAGTTTTAGTGTTATTTTCTTTACCTGTCATATATAAAAACCTTTTCTTATCTCATCATAAAAAATAAATTCCAACAAAAAGAGAACAGAATACTCTTATGTAAAACTCTATAACGCATATTGTTGATCGATCAATCGATCTATCGAGTTTAAGGTAAAATTTCTGGAGAAGAAAAAAGAGAAAGAAAAGAAACCATAAACAATAATCATTCATCTTGCAATGAGAAAGTATATATATTCAACAAACTCTACGTATGGGATAAAAAGACAGATAGAACGAGAGGAATAATATGTAAGCTTAAGAAACCCATGTTGCAGAGACCATCAGAGAAAACTAGAGGTGATTTAGTTAAACATCCCAATACAGATATTCACTTTAATAGAATAGACATTGATAAAAACTCAAGAGACAGATGAACATGAAAGTCATAGTGCTCAATGAGGATACCTATGATCTATCAACAAGAACATAGCTCAGTCTATAATTGAAGCCAAGATTATAATGGTTTTTTTTAAGCAAAAGTTGAAGATATATTAACCTTTGGATGCTGTTTACATTTGATCACACAAAAGATAATTTGTGTGTTCAGTCGAACTCACACACAAACGGATAAGAGGAACTTGATTTATATTTTGCTTGATTTACTCTAGACATGAAAGAATCGAATACATTCATCATAGTCTTCTCTATAATGAGAAGAATTTTTTGCTTGTTTATTTTTATGTTTTACAATGATTAGAATATCATCAAATTAATATACCAAATGAGCTGTTTTAGCTCTTCTTGCTTAGATTTATCATATTCATTTATTTATCGAATTTTAATCGGTAAAGTATTCTTTTCATAGGATCGTTAGGAGTAAAAGCAATATTAAGAGTGTGTCGATCAAACACTAACAAAATCTGTGAGACAAGCATGGAAAAAATATTCGAATTACCATAACGAATCATTCAGAAACGACAGTGACAAGGTCTGACAAGAGTAAAAATTATCTGTATAACGTTAAAGCTCTTATGGAGTCCATGTTGATCCATTCTTGAAGTTTTTTCATTAAAACATATTCGC